TCTCTATTTAGTTTTTATACATCATGACTTTTCCATTTTTGCTTTTGCTTTGCTGGGTCTGATTCACAATTTTTCCAATAATTTTATAGCCAATTGATCCCCACCTTATCACCAAGATGTGCTCTACATGAGTTGCGTGGAAATGTGGTTGGTGGCTATTGAGTGGTTGATTTTTAAGTCAAAAATTGTCGAAAGAAAAGTCAAAATCTGCTGAGTAGTTTGGTATTATTAAAAAATGGGGGGAGAAACTTCTTCGAAAATCACAAATTAAGGTAATTTAAAAAATAATTACGTAAGAAAAAAATATGGCAATTTTTTCAATAATTTTACAATTGGTTGATTGTAAGTGAGTTGTGGATATGTCTTCAAAGCAGATGCAGACATTTCTGAGATGGGATTGAAGTCCACACCTTATGACCAAGATGTGCTCTATCTTAGTTGCATGGAGATGCGGTTCATGGCTAATTGAGTGGTTACTTTTTAAGTTTAAGTCAGTCGAAATAAAGGTCAAAGTCTGCTGAGTGGTTTAGTATAATTAGAAAATGATAGGAGCCACTTCTTTTGAAAATTACAAATCAAGGTAATGTCTTACAAAATAATTATATACGAAAAAATATGGTAATTTTTTAAATAATTTTACAGTTAACTGATTGGTGACTCTTCAAAGGAAATGTAGACATTTCAGAGACGGGACTAAAGTCCCCACCTTATCACCAAGTCGATGGCTAATTGGGTGGTTACCTTTCAAGTAAAAATCCGCCAAAAAACAGGAAGTCAAAGCCTACTGAGTGGTTCAGTATTATTAGAAAATGTACTTCTGGGAAAAATTACAAATCAAGGTAACTTTCAAAAAATAATTACATATGAAAAATTATGGAATTTTAATAATTAAAATTTATAAACTTTACTATTAATCTTTTTTTTTTTCAACCTTCAACTAATTTGTTGTCTCTCTAAACTTCTAAGCAACTCTGTAGCAATTATTAATATAGAGTTATGAACCACATTTAATTAAGTGAAATAAATATTTTAAGATAAATTACATTGATCACCTTTAAAATTTGAAAAAATACAATAAGTTTTATAATTTTGATATAATTATGCTAATATATTTTTTTAGTAAAGTTATATAGACCGAAATTAATATAAATTATATAAAGACACAATGATATACAATGTAAAAATATATATTTCAATATAAAAGAAATGACTACATTATATTTTTTTTAATTATTTATACGAGTAACAAATTTATGATGAAAAAGAAACCAAATATTATCTGAACTAAAACTTTAAGAGAGCTTAATATAATTATAACAAATTTATTGTATATATATATATATATATATATTTAAAATCTTAAAAGAGGTGAATATAATTTACCTAATATTTTAAATTCAAATACTATTCGATTCATTTGTTAAAAGTCTTGTTGGAAGACGTGTTAATTAAAAATATTTAAAAATATATGCTGCACTTATTCTTAAGAAATTATATATATACGATATTATTATGGCTCATGTTAACATGTGTCTCAATTACACTAATTAGTTATGTTTTATTCTAGTGTTTTGAAATTTGTTAGATTATTATTTGGGACAATTTAAAAAAAAAAAGAAGAAGGTTTTAGCCATGTAAAAAAAGAAATTTTTAATTTTGTTAATTTAAAATTTAATCTTTTAATTTATTTTCAATTTAAGCCATTAGTCTATTTTTGTTAAATAGAACCAATGAAAAAAGAGTATTTGAATAATTAAACTCAATTTAGGTTACATAAAATATCTAAAATACTATTTTTATTGAGTTTAATGACTAAAATATTCATTTTTTTTATTGATTTTATTTAACGAAATAGAAAAAATGGTTTAGATTGAAAACAAATCAAAAGTTTATGATTTGAATTGATAAAATAAAAAATTTAAGATTTATTTTGTTGCTGAGTTCAAACTCTAGGTTTGTTTTCTGATTTTCGCTTACTATTTTCATATATTAAAAGGTGAAATATTAATTATAGTGTGGGTTGTACACACATTCAAACATTCAACAATAAATACATTTAATTAATGAGTAGTTAAAAATAAAAAGTTATCAATTAAATGAGTAGTTAAACTTCAAAAGTTAACAAAATCCATCACTAAATATACTTTAAATAGTGTTAAAGACATTTGTTAGCATTAGTCATTATTTTTTTGACAATTATTTTTAAATAAGGAAATTAATCATAAATATCCACATAGAAGGTAATATAAGAAGGTGATAAAAAAATTGGTGAGATTAACATTTCTTCTCATTTTTATACAGAATGTAATTTTTTAAAACTTCTTGTTTAAGTAGATAGGTTAACAAATTTCTAAAGTCATATTTTGAAAATATATACTTTGAAAACATAATTTTAATTAATTTGTAGTAAAAAAAAAAAATAACCTTGTTCAGTCTAGACTGTTTTTTAGGTAGCGTTTGGTAATATTTACGTTTTTGGTTTATGTTTACAAAATTTTTATAAACTGATTTTTGTTTATTTTTAGAAAAACATAAATTACAAACGCGCTTGGTTTGAACAAAATGTTTAAAAAAATTTTAAAACATAAATAAAAAAATGTTTGTTCAGGCCTAAAATATTTATATTTATTTTTATTATTTATGACAATGGGATCACACACATTATAATTGAAAAAAAAATAATTGGGAAAAAAATTATTTGAAAAAAATAATTATTTAAAAAAAATAATTGAAAAAAAAATTATTTCAAAAAAAATTAATTAAAAAAAAGATTAATTGAAAAAAAAATATTTGAAAAAAGATTAATTGAAAAAAAAATATTTGAAAAAAGATTAATTGAAAAAAAAATATTTGAAAAAAGATTAATTGAAAAAAAAATATTTGAAAAAAGATTAATTGAAAAAAAAATATTTGAAAAAAGATTAATTGAAAAAAAAATATTTGAAAAAAGATTAATTGAAAAAAAAATATTTGAAAAAAGATTAATTGAAAAAAAAATATTTGAAAAAAGATTAATTGAAAAAAAAATATTTGAAAAAAGATTAATTGAAAAAAAAATATTTGAAAAAAGATTAATTGAAAAAAAAATATTTGAAAAAAGATTAATTGAAAAAAAAATATTTGAAAAAAGATTAATTGAAAAAAAAATATTTGAAAAAAGATTAATTGAAAAAAAAATATTTGAAAAAAGATTAATTGAAAAAAAAATATTTGAAAAAAGATTAATTGAAAAAAAAATATTTGAAAAAAGATTAATTGAAAAAAAAATATTTGAAAAAAGATTAATTGAAAAAAAAATATTATATATATATATTAACTTTCTAGATACATTTAAAAAGTATAATATTTGTTTCATTTTTTTAAAAAACAAAAAACTAAATTTAAAAAATATAAAAATTCAGTACATTTTCGTAAGTACAGAGGAAATTAAGAGTTGTATAATGATAACATACATTTATTAGGTAGTTGAGAAATAAATAATAATTCATATAATGTGTTTTACAAATTCTTATTTACTAGGAGGATAATGTTAACATTATCATATAATATTCTCAAGCTATCTAAGTAATTTCCTTAATACAAACAAGGAGATTAGGGAGCAGTTGAGAGAAGTAGCAAGAGATCAAATGGTGATATACCTAGTTCTGCACTGGTTCCTTTGATCTTTCTTGAAATCATCATCAAAATCACACCCATCTTTGGAGAAGTTATTGATTGGTCTCGGGATCCCAATCTTTATTCTATTGAAAAACATAAAGAAACATGAAGAATTGTGATTGACTAAAAATTTGACCACGTGGCGTTCCAAATCAACAAATAATTTTTCTATCCTTAAGGTTTCATTCTCTGTCAAAGTAGCTGTCCAATAAATTGAATACAAATACGTATCTACTATTACTGGTACTGCCTATCCCCTTCAACTGGCAACAATTATTTAATTTTTTTATTTTATTTTATGGGGAACGAATTACAACAATAATTATAGCTTTTTCTGTTGCTCCTCAACAAAGCCAATCTCATACAATTATCTGATCGATTGTTTTAGTGACCCCAATGCCGTTCAATGGGATGCTTTTATGTACAATTATCTTGCAAAAAGATGCCGCATAACATTTCATTGGGCTACATCCGGCTTGGAAAGTCTCTCTTATTCTTTGTCATTTTTTCTTATTCTTTGTCATTTTTTTTTTATACTACGTGAATTGTTAATATGTTATTGTTTATTTAATTTTTAATAAAAGATAGTTTTAGAAATAAATAAAGAAAAACTTGATACATGACGGGTCAAAATAAAAATAAAAATTAAAATAAATAAAGTGGCCAAATATAATTGAGGTAAAATATAATTTACCATGACAAATATGATAACAAGTCATAATTTTCGTAATTAAATGATCCGTAATATCTATGTCACATTACTCATATTGTATGCAGTTCATGATTTTTACTTTACGTAAATTCCTGGGAAAATTTCTGGGCTTAGCCCTGTTAAATACCAAAAAAAAAAAAAAATTTATGGACAAATTTCATTTTGTCCCTTATAATTTAGCTCGTGTACGGATTACCTTTCATATTTGGAAATAACTACATAACTCTTTTATAGTTTATGGACTGAAATTTACCGTTAAATCCGTTAACGACTTAATAAAAAAGAACAAAATATCTTATATATAAGTAACCTAAGTGTGTAAATTACGAATATTTTCGTTATTTGTTTGGAAGACAAAATGTAATTTTACTCCTTGTACTTTATTTCATGTGCAATTTATCCCATTAAAATTTAAAAATGAGCATATAACTTCTTATGTCTAGCACGCTTTTTACACTTGTTAAGTTAGACAAAATATTTACCGGTATATTTCAATACACAAACTACAACAAAATTATGTGAATATTTTCATATGAGAGGGATAAGGGATAGTGAAATTTGCCCTAGATAAAATATTGATTACTTTAATCTCAAAAATTTGTAACTCGAGAGAGAGTTAGCAAGAGATCAAATGGCTACCTTACTAATTCTGCTCTTGTTTCTCGACCTCTCGGCAGGACTCAGAGCAGGAGCAGCAGCAACAGGACGTGAGGATTGCAAGCCAACAACACGATGCAATAGTAACGACCCAGAGATACGGTACCCATTCCGGCTAAAGGACAATGAGCAGCAGCAGCAGCCAGAACACTGTGGTTATCCTGGCTTCGATTTTTCTTGTGATCATGAAAACCACACCATGCTTGAGCTTCCATTCTCTGTTAAAGTAGCAGTCAAAGATATCGACTACATATCTCAGTTGATACACACGTATGACCCTCCTCATGACTGCTTTCCTCACCTGCTTCAAAACCTCAACTTATCTACTACTACCTCTCCCTTCCAACTGGCATCGAATAAAAACTATAATTATAGCTTTTTCAGTTGCTCCTCAACTGAGCCAATCTCAGACAAACCGATGACTTGTCGTAGTAGTGACCCCAATCACAAAGTTTATGCCTTTCCGTCGGACTATTTTATGTCCTATTTTCCCTTATTGTCTTGCAAAAAGATGTCCTTTAAGATTTCATCGCCAATTCCATATCGCATATTTGACCAACAGCCAGATGAACTTACATTGAAATGGTCCAAACCGACATGTGGGATCTGTGAAAAGCAAAGCAAGTATTGTAGATTGAAGGATAACAGCAGGGACAATGAAACTGAATGCGTTGACGACACAACAAAGTCACCAACTACAGGTACTTCTCTACTTTCTCATATCTTACTGGCTTTTAGATCATCTCTCCCATTACATGCTTAGAATGAACATCTTTATTCTAGTCTAATATAAATAAATACTAGAGGGCTTGTCTAAAATTTAAAATAATGGTTAGTAGTATTTGAAAGAGTTGGATTTGATAATTATACCAGTTAATTGAATCAGTTGAATTTAAGAGAATTTTAAGAGAATTTATCTAGGGTATTTTGAAAAATAAATAAATAAATAAATAATGTGATAGTTTATATACCAAATCAAGTTTAGACTTTATATAATATATAATAATAACCAAAAAAAAAAAAAAAAAAAAAAAAAAAAAAAGTTTACAATGTGCACCTTCTAAGATATAATTTGTACCAAAAATATTTTTTGTTGACTACAAAAACTATTTTCATTAATTTTCATTTTCAATCAAATCAATCACCAGAAAATATAGAAAACATAATTTCTATCAAAACAGACAGCGTTAGCTTTTGAATTCATGTAGCACTATGAGATTTAAATTCAATATTTCTTGGAGAGAACTTTAAGATCATATTAGTTGACAAATTATTTGGAATGTTTAATTAATCAGGAGAGTGTAACTTTATTTATTTATTTCTCAAGACAGTCCTCACATCTTATTTATTTTGTAAGCACTATTTCATTTGTGACTACGGATAGACATAGGTTTATGATTGATATTTCAGCTCACAAGATAAGCTGGGTCAGTTTTTTAGGCTTGTTTAATTTTTGGGTTGGACTTGGAATTTAGATTTCTAGCCAACTCTACAAATAAAATAATTCTATAATTTTAAATGTATTATTTATATAAAAGTATTAGAAATTAATTATTTATAATTCCATTCTTCGAAGAATTTTTTAGTTCGAAAGCTTATATTATGCTGTTGAATTTATTACCCAATTTTTAACAATTAATTACTTAAGCTAACTTTGTTTCTCTTTTGTGTTGCCCCTTTTCCCTTTGTTTTTCCCTTTGTATGATGACCGTTATTATTGTTATTTTTTCCTTTTTGCTCATTTCACGAAAGGCCTATGCTGTTATTTATAGTGACCTCAATCTCAAATTTGATGAGTGGCTTATAGATGGAATCAATTTCCTCCTTTTTTATTATTTTATTTTATTAAATCACATGTTTATAGGATTTGGGAATTACAATGTCCTTAGGACTAGGCTTGGGGGAAACTTCCATTTGTGCACCAATTTTTTTTCTCAACTAATACTAATTTTTTATGTTCATATATAAATTATTGAATACAAATTAATAAATCAAATATCAACTACATAACAGAAAATCAATTATTCGGATATCAAGTATTAAATTGGGGTTTTCCATTTGGTAGTTGATATTTGAACTATTAATTTTTGTCCGGTACTTGATATTTGAATAAGAAAATGGTGTGAATTGAGAAATTTTGTGATGTAGAAATGGAAGCTCCTGTGTCTAGGTTAACCACATCAGCTTGATGCTTCGTTTGCACCAAGTTTGAGAAGACACAAAGGCCATGCTTGTTTGGGCAGACATGTGCATGAGATTGGACTAATAGTCTAATCAAGTTATTAATCCGATGTTTGGTTAAAAAATTGAAGTATCGAATAACAATTCATTCGGGTATGGTACCCTACATATGATGGACTATTCAATCCCACATAGGGAGTGGGACATAAATTGGGAGACTAAGTTAAATTCTAGACTAACTTATCAAATAACCATAATAGAGGTATTATGGTCAATATATTGAATATTCCATGTCCTGTCATGTCATATACATTCCAATCCCCTTAAACAAATATTGGGTTGTATAATATTTTGTTAATCCCTCCTTATAATCCTAACTCAATCCAAACATAGAATAGGATACACAATCCAAAATGATTCATAGTTTGAGGACTATTAGTCATGGCCAAATACAGTCTGCTCAAACAAACATGGCCAAAGTCTTTTAATAGGTAGTGTAATCCCAAGCCGACTAATGCCCACTGGGCTTCTCATCAAATGCAAGGGAAATTATATAATACTCCCAAAACACCTCGTGACCATACTCCAAATCAATTACCAATTACTTAGGGTGTGTTTGGTAACGTTTACGTTTTCAGTTTATATTTACAAAAATTTTATAAACTGGTTTTTGTTTATTTTAAAAAAAACATAAACTACAAACGCGTTTGGTAATGGACAAAATGTTTAAAAAAAAATTAAAATTAAAAAAAAAGTGAGAAATGACAAATGGTGGCAAGTGGCGGCGGAAGACGGTGGTAAAAAGTGGTGACGGTGGGTGGGTGGGTGACGGTGGCGGATGGGTGGTGGGTGGTAGCGATTGGGTGGTGGTGGTGATGAAAAAAAAACTCAGCATTTTATTTTGGTAACAAAATAAATCTTGAGTTTTAATTTTGTCAATTTAAATCCTTTTTTTTTTCAATCTAAACCATTCACCTATTTTTGTTAAATAAAACTGACGGAAAAAATGATATTTTAACTATTAAACTCAATATAAGTGTATATAAAATGTCTAAAATATTATTTTCGTTGATTTTTTTTTTATCAGCAAAAGAAAAGACTTTATTAATGCATTCAACATATAACACATATGAAATTACATCAATAAATGAGAGGTAATAGTAAAAAGCATCATAGTATACTTTCAGGGACGGAATCAGTATTTCATTACTAGAGGAGCTAAAATTTGAATTAAAAATTTCACCATATACACTAGCAAAAATGTATATATAATATGATATGTAAGTTATATATAAACACAAAAAAAATAAATAAATAAATAAATAAATAAATAAAATTCAAATACTATGGAAGTAATTTGGTATTGGATAAAGAAGTTTTTTTTGTACAAAATAAAAAGAGAATGCAAGGTCAGAGAAGAGTGAGATATATAATTTTTGTTGAAGCACACAGCATCTTTCACAGAAGGAGGGGAGCGATGGCCCTCCATAGTATCACTAAATTTTAACTATGTTAACACCAAGAAGAACACTCAATTATTTGCTAGCTCCAACCTAAAAGGTTGGTGAGAAACCAATAGAAAAAGGGGAAGCAAACAAATAACAATCCTTAACAGTATATCAGCAAATGCCGCCAACTAGTTGAGCTCACCACGTTAGCTAAGAGCCTTAATAAATCTCAGCAGCAAGAACCAGCAAGAGCTGCTTCGACCTGTGTTCCAGTGCATCCTTAATAAAGATGGATTCTCCTGCAGATCAATGCTTCCAGCTTTGATTAGCCATAGTCTCCTTAAAGCTGTGTTTGGCTGGAGGATTTGGAAAAGAGAGAGGGAAAAAGTAGTGAAATGTGAATAAAATATATCTACATTTCACCTAGATTTACACATTTTTTTCCTTTTCTTTTTCCAAATCCTTCAACCAAACACGGTGTAACAGAACCAAACTCTATGAAGAAGTTCTCATCTCCTACAAATTAGCAACCACCTCATGGACCGTGTACAGAAACTTCTTGGAGTGGGATTTAACCCTAAGAGCAATTCTAATTTTTATCAATTTGCATAGCTTTTCAAATAAAAAATGCAACCAATTAAAGATACAATCATTCGTAGTTCCCCATATAGACCATAGTGCAGCCAATGGTAAAGCCCTCTAGATCATATTTACTGATTTCTTCCATTTGAATCCCCATCACCAGTAAAGTAACCCCTCCACCCTTTCAGCTATCACCCATTGTATTCCCCACCATCTCATCAAATTTGACCACACCCTCCAAATGACAAGACATAACATTAGAACATGGTTAACTGTTTCCAGATCAGAGTTGCAAAAGGCACATTCATTTCTAGCATTAGGGTCCAGAACACCTAATCTTTGAATTTAATCTGTGGTTTTGATTCTACCCTTCCAGGCTAGCCACCCAAAGAATTGAAGATGCTATTTCAAATAAGATTAGTGACCTCCACAGTATGCATATGGACATTTCTACTATATAATGATAACACACTAAACATACCTGAAGGAGAAGCCTGCCACATGATGCAATCATCTCTAGTTGAAAAGGAAGGCTGTATAGGTGATAGCAATGAATTAAGTCTTCCAATTTCATCAACTTCCCAAGCAAATAAGGCTCTTCTGAAACTAAGACACCGTCCTTCTAAACCTTCTCTCCCATCCACCATACTTCTCAGAGATGCATCCTTCTCTAATGATAGTGAAAACAGTCTAGGGAATTTATCTTTCACTCACCAATTACCAGCCCATTTGTCTTCCCAGAACTTGACTCTATTTCCATTACCAATAACAATTTCAGAGTTATCCAAGAAGAAGTTCAGCAAATTGGGATTGGACTGAGCAACACTAACATTCCTGTCGGGAAGGAAATAAACCTTCTCGTATAATCCTGTTGATCAAGTCTACGCTCCTCTGTACGTCGTCGCTTTATCACCTGAAAACACAAACGTGGGCTAGTCGGCGGGTGTGTGCCGGAAACCTCTCTGATGCCTAAGTCAGCAAGCTTGACAAATAGACAAAAGCTCCGTGTATTCAGAAAGCAAAGTTGTGTGTTACATCTTCAAAGGTGATGTTTGTGAGCTTTTATAGGTTTCATGTGGCACAATCCTAGTAGGACTTCTACTTCTCCATGCAGAGTCCTCCTAGGATTCATACTCCTGAAAGATAATGCTTATCCTTCAACACCCCCTCACTGCTTAAACCAAGTGAGATGGTTTTTACAATGGCCGAACTCCAACATGACCGAAGTAAACATGACTATGCATAGCCGCAGAATAAGCCGAACTAGCTCTTCCTTTTACTGCTCTTACGTCGGCTTCTCATGCACAACCCATGGCGTGGTCAGACCGAACTAACATGTCATGACCGGTGTAACTCCAAGACCGGTCTAACTCCAAAGTACCGTTAGACCGATCTAACTTCGATCTTCTGTCGGACCGGACTAGCTTCACGGCTTTAGGACCGGACTAACTTCAAAATATCCACACGACCGGAGTAACTTACATGGCCATTTTACTCGGCCCTTTGTACTGCGGCTCATAACGGCCCATTACCCAGCTCGAGGCACATCGCT